ACAACCAAAACGTATCTGTCACCTCGTCCCAGCTAGAGCCCCTGGATTTCTTCCAACAGTCCTCTTAGCATTATCAGGAAAGCAGGTTGTAGCTATGGTCAACAGCTACAATCAGAGGACTTCAAGTGAAGATCACCCTTGATAACATGCGTGGCCTCATCCACTGAGTAGAGAGCAAAAAATGAGGTTTTCCAGCAAAGGAGAGATTCTGCCTAAGGACTGAAATTGTCAGATACAACAACTGTGTGAACCAAGTCCTTAAAATAAACGTGTGTGTGTGTGTGTGTGTGTGTGTGTGTGTGTGTGTAACTGTGCATGCTCATATCCTGTCACTTGGGTTTCTCTGGAGAACTGTGCAGATGTCTGCATTTATTTAGATTATTGTCTTGATCTGTTCTCTTATACCTTCCCACAATAGACTGTCGGAGCCTGGGTCATTTATAAACAGAATAAGCAGCTTTGGCTCACAGCCCTGGAGACGAGGAGGACGGGAGGCATCACATGGAAACGTGGAAAGAGAGAGAGATTTACCCTCTTATTAGCAGTCTATGCCCATGAACCATGATAACCAACCATCTTAGTCACTTTCTGGTCTCTGGGATAAGATACCCGACGCCCACAGCTTAAGGGAGGAGAGGTTTATTTTGGCTCATGGTTTGTAGAGGTTCAGTATGTAATTAGCCACTCCCAGGAGGGGCGGCAGGACAGTGGGGAGCAGGGAGTGAAGGAACCAGGAGCGAGATAAACCCTTCCAGGCCCCCAGTGACTGCCCCCTCAGACCCAGCTCCTCCTCCCAGGATAACATTTAGTCCTAAACTCATCAGTACTCATGAGTATCAAGCCCCATGATCCAATCACCTCCCAACTCCCACTGATGGGTACATGAGGCTTTAGGGGGGATCTAGATCTAAGCTGTAACGCCAACCCAGGACATTCTTGGGACAACAACATTAACCCATTCATGATTACACGGCCCTCAGGACCTAATCACCTCTGAAAATTCTTCCCTCTTTTGGTGGTGGTGGTGGTGGCAGGGGCTGTACGTGTGAGTATGTGAGCACTCACGGGTGCGCTACTACTGAGCTACAGACCCGGGTGTACTTATTTATATTTTGAGGCAAGGTCTCAGTAAGTTGCCCAGGCTGGCCTTGAACTTGTGATCTTCCTGCCTCAACCTCCAGAGTAGCTGGGGATTACAGATGCCCAACCACCTGGAAGGGGAAATTCCCACTTCTTCATACCAGCACAATGGCAATTAAATTTCAACATGAATTGTGTCTCTGTGTGTCACTGGGAATTGAACCCAGAGTCTTTGCACTGAGCTATATCCCTGGCCAACCCTTTTTTATTTTGTCTTGTTAAGTCACTAATTGCCTAGGCTGGGCTTGAACTAGCAATCCCCCTGCTTCAGCTTCCTGAATGCTGGGATTACAGGTGTACACCATCATGCCCAGCCTTGATTCCTAAGTATTTTATTCCTTTTGAAACTCCTGTAAATAGAATCATATTAGTTTCAGTTTAGATTGTCCACTCATCTCTTCTTTATTTTGGTGGCGGGGAGTGTACCGGGAATCAAACTCAGGACCTTGTACTTGCCAGGTAGGCGCTTGTGCCACTGAGCTATATCCCTGGCCCAGTCCACTGATCTCTTACCCTGCAACCTTGCTGAGTTTATGCACTCTAATGCTCTTACAAGAGGTGCCTTAGGATTTTCTATGTACAGGATCATGTCCAGCACTTTAGGAGGCTGAGGCAGGAGGATCACAAGCTCAAGCCCAGCCTGGGCAATTTATCAACTTATTGAGACTCTGTCTCAAAATAAAAAAGGGCTGGGATGCAGCTCAATGCTAGGTTCAATGCCCAGTATAAAAAAAAAATAAAGAAAGAAAGAGAGAAAGAGAGAAAGAGAGAAAGAGAGAAAGAGAGAAAGAAAGAAAGAAAGAAAGAAAGAAAGAAAGAAAGAAAGAAAGAAATTAATTAATTCTGATCCTGGCTACAACATTGACAAACCTCAAAAACATGCAGTGATTCTGTTTACCGGAAACTTCCCGAGTGGTGGACACTGTGGAGCCTGCAGCAGATGCACGGCTGGAGCATAGACAGGTGGCTGAAATCCCACAGAACTGTGCATTTCAAACACTTCAGGGCTAATTTTATATTATTTAATTTTTTCCTTGGTTGAAAAAATTAAAAATATACACTAAAATTAAAAATAAAATGCACCGACACCTGGGCATAATGGTGCATGCCTGTAATCCCAGCACTCAAGAGGCTGAGGCAGAAAGATAACTGTGAGTTTGAGGCCAGCCTGGGCTACATAGTGAATTCAAGGCCAGTGGGAACTACATAGTGAAACCCTGTCTCAAAACAAAACAAAAAACAAACAAAAGTGCACTGAGAAAACGTCTTTCAGCTCAGCTCAGCATCTGTCTCTCTCCTGGGGCTTAGGACACAGTGCCCCGGGGAGGCTCTTGGAGCTGAGCAAACAGGGAGGGAACGATGCGGGGTGGCCAGCAGATCAGAAAATGGCAGTTAGTGCCCAGGTGTAAAGCAGAATGCCAGCTGGCTACATTTACAGAAAGGTGAGGGCCGGGGATATAGCTCAGGGGCATAAGCACCTGCCTGGCAAGCACAAGGTCCAGAGTTTGATTCCAGGTACCAAAAATAAATGAATAAAAATAAAAAAGAAAGGTGAGAGCTGGGTGTGGTAGCGCATGCCTATAATCCCAGCACTCAGGAGCCTGAGGCAGGAGGATCGTTGCAAGTTCAAGACCAACCTGGGCTACAAAGTGAGCTCAAGGCCAGCCTGAACTGCATAGCGAGACCCTGTCTCAAAAAGACAGAAGTTAGAAAGGTGAGAAGCAGGACGTGGTGGCACATGTCTTTGATCTGAATGCTTCAGGAGGCTGAGGCAGGAGGATCCCAAGTTTGAGCCCAGCCTGGACAACTTAGTGACTTAGTAAGACCTTGTCTCAAAATGAAAAGTAGAAAAGGCTAGGATATCACTCAGTGTGAAAGCCCTGGATTCCTCAGTACTACAGAGAGAGGGAGTTGTTGGAGAAGCAGGACGCTGATGGACACAAGCTTCTCCCTGCACAGACAGGAGGGAGGGGGCACAGGGGAGAAGCCTTGCTGATGCCCTTCACCCTGCAGGGTAAGCCCAGGAGAACACAGTGAGTCTTTCCACGCCTCCTCTTCTCCAGCCACTGCTCCTGCCACCTGACAGTGTATTTTATTTATTTGAGGGACAGTTTGAGACAGGGTCTCATGATGGAGTTTAGGTGGGACTTAAACTCATGCATGTACTGCAAGCATGTACTAATAAATTTTTTGTGTGTGTGTCTTTTTGAGACAGGGTCTCACTATGCAGTTCAGGCTGGCCTTGAGCTTGCTTTGTAGCTTAGGCTGGTCTCGAACTCGCAATGATCCTCCTGCCTCAGGAATTACAGGAGTGTGCCACCACGCCCAGCCTTAAATTTTTTTTTAAAGGGCTGGGATTAGCTTAGTGTGAAGGTCCTGTGGTGCAATCCCTAGTGGCAGCGAAGGGGGACAGCAGTGGTTGGGAGACCCTCTGTCCCTGGGAAGCCTCTCTTTGGTGGCACCCAGAGCTCGATGGGGTTGGCCCTCACACTTGTTGCTTATCTCTGGAGGCTGGGGTCAGGCTGGCCACCTCTTCCCTGTGCCCCGGCCTCCGCTTTCCCCCAAGATCACCAAGGTAGCCCCAGCGCAGGCCGAACAGGAGGTACGGACATAGCCCGTGTGCACAGCAGAGCGCAGCCCCACACCCTCAGCGCCCTTGGTGGCTGAGGATGGTCCCCTGCTTGCCTGCCTCAGCTTACCTGGGGGAAATGGGAAGGTGGGCTGGGGCTGTGACAGTGACCAGGGCCTTTAAGGAGGCACCGCCAGGGACAGCCCAGCCTGACCACAAGCACCCACAGGAAGGGTTCGCAGCACTACCTAGCCTCCCTCAGGAAGGTGGGGGGCCTTGGGCACTGCACAGGGCCTTGCATGCCGATGGCCTCCTCCCTTGGACAAGACACCTGACAGGCCCCATGCCGGCCAGTCCACAGGGACAGCATGTGACTAGGGTGACCAGGGGCCGGACATGAGGCATGACTGCCACATGGCCCTGGGTCCCCAGTGGATACAGGTGGTGGCCGTGTGGCGCTATGAATGCACGCACACTGCTGACTGCAGTTTGAATGGCTGAGATGAGGGACACCACAGCAGAAGAGCTTGATTTGAAAGCAAACTGACTTTATTAAACACACTTCCTCACACCGTGGGCCTCCGGCACTGCCGTGTGCACTTCTCTATGGTTGAGCAAGAAAGCAATAAGGACAGACCGGCGCCGCCGGGGACCAGGACATGCGGAGACATGGAGGCCACGTCACCCCCTGGCTCACCGGATCTGGCATGGGGACGAGGGATGGGAAGAGGGCGATAAGCAGGTGGGCTGGTGTCCTAGTCATCCCCTCAGGCCACCATGTGCCGGTCCAGTCCCCACCACACCCCTCAGCACTCACCGTGTACTTGTCCCACTTCTTCTCCGGGTCGTAGGGCTCCCAGCGGCTGGCCGGGAAGATGTGCTTGTTCTTCTCGTACCAGCTGCGCAGCACCACCTTGCCGGCATGGGACTGGGGAAGGGACAGCCCAGCTGAGCCAGCTGCTGGGGACAGCTCACCTGGCCACCCTGCCCAGGGCTCCCACCAGGTGTACCTCATCCTTCTCCACGGTGGCATCGCTCAGCAGCCGTACGTCATCATGAACATCAAAGTTGAACAGTGGGCCTGCAGGGAGAGGGAGCTGTCCCGAGGTGCTCTCCCGAGGTCACATGGCCACCCCAACTCAGCCTGCTGGGCTGCAGGCACTCACCGCTCTTCCCACGTGCCTTGGTCACAATGAAGTCATAGAAGCTGTGATGCTAGGGACCAAGGAGGGGAGGCCAGCTCAATGCCCATCCCAACTCCAGTCACCCACTGCATCCCATGCTCCCACCCAAGGCCAGGTGCCACAGGGACTCACGTGGGGGATGATTAAGTCTTCCTTGATGTACATGAGCTGCTCCACCCCTGCCGACCTGAGGAAGACAGGAAGTGTGGCCAGGTGGACAGACGGTCAGATGCCATCCTCAGACCGTGCCGGGGGGTGGGCTGGGGGGGAGCCAGCTTAGTGAGCCAGGGACACACGTCACCCCACTGTGCCCCGCCTCTGGATCAAGGTGCCCAGGCAGGAGCCCACCTCAGCTCAGTGGCATGAGGGAGCAGCTTCCCTGCGGCCACCACACACCTGGCCAAGACATTTGCACACACACAACCTCACCTGAGCTCGCTGAAGTCCTTGCGCAGGATCTCGAGTGCCTTCTGCAAGAACTGCTGCATGGTGTTGCCCTTCTTCATCTGCGAAGGGTGGGAAGGAAACGGGAGCCCGAGGAGCACTCAGGAAGCAGCTGGCCCCAGGCCCCAGGCCCGCCACAGTGCCTACCTTGACCGTCCGCCGGTGCCCAGAGCCATCCCAGTAGCTGAAGGTGATCTCAATCTCCTCACCTACAGAGCATAGTGGCCGCTCAGTTGCCAGCTGCCTGTCACCAGCACCAGGAGCCCCTGCTCCAGCCTCTGGAGGCCCCGGTACCACCCAGCAGCCCCCACTCACTCTTGATCTTCTCTTGCTTGGCTTCCCACTCCTGCCGCAGCTCCTCCCGCAGCCGGTTCTCCTCCTCCTGCAGATGACAAGGCCCGGCAGTGAGGCAGAGGGCTATGGCCCGCCACCAGCACCAAGGGCAGCGGCCTCAACCCTTACCTCTCGGTCTCGGTCAGGCAAGAAGCTCGTGTCCACATCGGGGTTCTTCCCTAACTTTCTTTTCTTTGTGGTAACCTCTAGGGTAAAATCAAAGAACAGCTTAGCAACTGGGTGGTGCATGCCTGTCATCCTGGTACTTGGGTGGCTGAGGTAGGATGATTGTGACTTTGAGGCCAGCCTGGGCTACACAGTGAGTTCAAGGGCAGCCTGGGTTATACAGCAAGACCCTGTGTCAAGAAACAGAGAAGAAAAGAAAAAAAAAAAAAAAGAAAAGAAAAAAGAAACAGAAAACAAAAAAGCAACCTAGGTATTACTCTAAAAAGGATTTTAATCTGGACCCCATAAGGGTCTCTCAGAGCCCCAGCATCCCTCAAGCCTGCATTGAGCATTGCTGACCTTAAGGAAAAATGTAAACAAAGCAGATGCCAGGGTTCCACTGCTGGGCCTCCTAAAATGAAGCCTCCAGAGAGAGGTGAGCCCACCCAGCACAGTCAAGCCCCCACTCCAGGCCCACACAGCCCAGAACAGTAGCTCTGCCACATGATCCCCAGAGCTGGAGACCCAAATACAGCTGGAGCTCCAGAAGCTGCACGGTCACGTTTGGGTATCAGGTTAGGTGCAATACATCACGAAAAGTTCACTTGTTCATGCTCAAAAGTATGGGCAGAGCAGGACGTGGCAGTGCACGCCTGTAATCCCAACACTCGGGAGGCTGAGGCAGGAGGATTGACATGAGTTTGAGGCCAGCCTGGGCTACAAAGTGAGCTCAAGGCCAGCCTGAACTGCATAGTGAG